TGGTTTGTCAATTTTGTTTATTTTTTCAAAAAACCAGCTTTTAGCTTTGTTGATTTTTGCTATGGTCTCTTTAGTTTCTTTTGCATTTATTTCTGCCCTAATTTTTAAGATTTCTTTCTTTCTATTAACCCTGGGGTTCTTCATTTCTTCCTTCTCTAGTTGCTTTAGGTGTAGAGTTAGGTTATTTATTTGACTTTTTTCTTGTTTCTTGAGGTAGGCCTGTAATGCTATGAATCTTCCCCTTAGCACTGCTTTTACAGTGTCCCATAGGTTTTGGGTTGTTGTGTTTTCATTTTCATTCATTTCTATGCATATTTTGATTTCTTTTTTGATTTCTTCTATGATTTGTTGGTTATTCAGAAGCATGTTGTTTAGCCTCCATATGTTTGAATTTTTAATAATTTTTTTCCTGTAATTGAGATCTAATCTTACTGCCACATGTGCATTTCTAAACTAAATTCTGTTTGAATGTGACATATTTGTTTTCACTGTAGTTTTCTTAAATGCAGTTTTATGTTTTATTTAGAATTTTACAGTTGTGTTATGTTTAACTTTGACATTTTTTTCTTTTCTTTATCCAACTGTGAAATCAGAGTTATATGTATACTGTTTGTAAATTACCATCAGTAATTTCTCACCCTTTTTCTGTTCTGAAATAACTTTTCTATGACAAAGATTAATTTATTCTTGAAAGTTTGAGAGAATTCTCTTATTAAAAGCCATATCAGTTTTAAGTTTCTTTTGAAGAGAGGTCTTTGGTCATCATTCCTACTTCTTTAACTGTTATCTAAGTTAATCTTTATTTTCTCTTATATTAATTTTGGCTTTTTATAAGCTTTTGAAAATAAATCAGTCTTATCACAGTTTTCAACTTTGTTGTTTTATTGTTTATGATATGTTTATTCATAACACTTTGCTATTTTTCTGTTGTTTCTCTTTTTCATCATTTATCTTATTTGTATCCCCTTTTTCTTGATCAGTCATGCCAGAGGTTTGTCCATCCTACTGTTCTTTTCAATGAAGTAGCTTCTTTAAGCTATTTGTTTATTGTTTCTGAATAATCATGTTTAAAGTAATGAATATACCTTTAAGTACTACTTTCAATTTCACTACTTTACTAGTCTCCTAAAAATTTGCACAGGGAATATTTTCATAGACAATCAATGATAAATATTTTGATTCCTGTTATGATTTTCAGTTTAAACATGGATTATTCAGTAGTAATTTCTGTTCTCCCTAGATCAGATTGTTTAAAGCTATTCTTTCTATTTTATTGTATTATTTAAGAATGTGTTCTGCATAGTTTGGTCAATCTTCTGAATTTTCTAAATATGTGTAAAAACAATGCTTATCTGTGTTGCTTATATAGTTATAAGCAAGTTATATTTATATTCTTTACTTTGAATTTATTCAGTGTCATTCAAAGTATCTATGACTTTACTGTTTTTTGCCTATTTTTTCAGAAAGATGTGTTAGAATCTTCCAACTATCTTATCTTTTCTTACACACTCTTGTTTGATATACTTCAGAGTATATAGATCAGTACCTCTGTACTCATGATTTCTACATCTTCTGATAGTATTCACTTTATTGTTATATTTCTTTCTTCTTTGTCATTTATGAAGAATATGACTACTATGACAAGTAGATTATAATCTACGTGTGAATTTTACAAGCTTGTCAATGTCTGTCTCTTGAACATAAAATAACCTCATTCCACCCACACATCTTTTTCATTGAAATTGTCTAGAGTTTAAAATCTGTTGTTAAGGATTACTTTTTTACCTTTTTTTTTGGTTTCAGTTTCAATACTTGCTCATCTAGGCAAGTGTTAACTGCTTTGATATTTTCAATACTTCTTCCCTTACCTTCAAGGAAGAGTAATTCTCTCATTTGTTGTTGTTGTTCAGTCGCCCAGTCATGTCCCTTTCTTTGTGACCCCATGGAGTGCAGCACGCCAGGCCTGCCTGTCTCTCGCCACTTCCCAAAGTTTGCCCAGTTCATGTCCATTGGATTGGTGATGCCATCCAGTCATCTCATCCTCTGACGCCCTCTTCTGCTCTCAGTGTTTCCCTGCATCAGGGACTTTTCCAGTGAGTTGGCTGTTCGCATCAGATGACCAAAATACTGGAGCTTCAACCTCAGCTTTCCTGATAGCTCAATTGGTAAAGAATCTGCTTGCAATGCAGGAGACCCTGGTTTGGTTCCTGGGTTGGCAAGATCCGCTGGAGAAGGGATAGGCTACTCACTTCGGTATTTTTGGGCTTCCCTTGTGGCTCAGCTGGGAAATAATCTGCCTGCAGTGTGGAGACCTAGGTTCTATCCCTGGGTTGGGAAGATTCCCAGGAGAAGGGAAAGGCTACCCACTCCAGTTTTCTGGCCTGGAGAATTCCAAGGACTGTATCATCCATGGGGTCCCAAAGAGTCAGACATGACTGAGCGACTTTCACTATGCTTAGCTTCAGCATCAGTCTTTCCAACAAGTATTCAGGGTTGATTTCCCTTAAGATTGACTGTTTTGATCTCCTTATTGTCCAAGGGACTTTCAGGAGTCTTCTCCAGCACCAGAGTTCAAAGGCATCAATTCTTTCGCGCTCTGCCTTATTTACGGCAGTCTCTCATAGGCTCCTCCAATATTATATTTTCCGGCTAGTTTACTTCCTTAAAGAGTGTTTTTCAAACTATCTGGTACCTTGTTTGGCAAGAAAAAAAAAAAATCATACTTTCATCCTGAATTTAGAGAGTAGTTTGTCTAGTTTCAAAAGTCTATTTTTAAGATTCTTTTCTGTGTTTTCATTAGAGGAAATAAGGGCAGAACATATCTTATGTAAAAAGTACAGTTATATGCCTCCAACTGTGTCAGGTGATCTCGTTCATTAGATAACTTTGGTCCTTTTCTGGATTCCTCAGAGAGCTCTCCCTGTTGCAGGAGAGGGAGATGTCATCCTAAGACCCACAGAAGTCCTTAGGATGGACCTCCAAGTGAGGGTCGTTGGCAACCCACAGGAAGAATTCAGGAAGGAACCATAGTAAAGGGAAAGCAAGTTTTAGTGATACACTTTTCCATAGACAGAATGCGGTCTGTCTCAGAAGGCAAGAGCCACCCCAGGACACAGGGTCCTCTGGGAAAGTGAAATAGGCCCAGGGGCATGGGGACGTACTTTTTTTGGGTTAAGTGATTTCGTAGGCTAATGAGTAGGAGAAATATTTTTGCTATTTTGGCGAAGGGTGGGGATTTCCCAAGAATTAGGCCACTTCCTACTCTTTTTGGCCTTCTATGGTCCTTTTCAGAACTGACATGGTGTGAAAGCAGTGCTTTTTAGTATTTCAGTGAAGGTATTATGAGGTAAAGGTCAATAACTGTACTATTCTCAAAGCCACCTTGGTTTCAGCTGGCTCCAGCCTGTCCAGCATGCCAGCAGGTGCTCCCCATCATCATTATCTAGCGTTTGTGTCCTGCCCTTTTCCCTCCTGTCTTATGCCCCCTTTGGGTGTTTATGACAGTGGTTCCCCACAGTGGATGATACTCTCTGTGGCTGTTTACTTTGTGATTCAGCACCTGGCTTTTGGTTTCCTCTCTTTGAGTCACTTGCCCTGTATATGGCCTTGTTGGGCAAGATGTCTTTTAAAACTATCCAGACTGGCCTATTTTCATGTCTGGCCTAAAGGAAACTTGGAGGAAGTATGAACTTCTACTCATTATATTGCTCTGTCTCCTGATTTCTACTTACTTGGTGAGGTTCACAAACTAACTCTTCAGTCTCTTATAGCACTGCATGAAATAATCTGACCTTATTTTTCTTGGCTTGTGAGATGTCTACCAAAACTTCCTCAAAATAACAAGTTAAAGTCACCTTTAACATCCTGTTGTACTATCTTTAAATTCTTTTTCTGTCCATCTGTTTATTTTTCTTTTGGTGTAGATTATTTCCTTTCCCTTATGAACTTGGATTACTGAGAAATCTTGTTAATTTTTTTTTCCTATGAGTTTAACTTCATCCTGAGGGTATTAGTTTATTGAGCTGATTTATATACATATAATTAAGTGGTTAAAACTTGGGCCTTGTTGAGAGGGGAAAAGAGTGAACTTTAAAATTAAACTGCTTCTAATCTGTCTCCCATTATTGATATCCAGGTGTTTTCATTCAGAACTGAAGTTTCTCCCTTATACTATGATGCAACTACATTATTTTGCTGCAAAGGTCATTCTAATTTATATTCATTTGACAGTTCTCTCAATCTCCTAGTCTCTGAGGCATCTCCAGAATTGAATTCTGTGGAATGAGTTTATACTGCTACATCTTGTCAAGAACCTGTACAGCCCAAACACTCTGTACCCCATCTAGTCATTAATCTTTGATCCTTTCAAATGTTTTTAACCATGTTAATAGTCAGGAAATGGATATTCCCTCTTTGGGAAAAAAAAATACTTAAAGATACATTCCAGCAAACCAATAAAAGGTTGAAACTTTAAAACTACATGAAAAGAAAGACGGCAAATTTGCATTAGTAAAGGAGTGATTATGACTAGTAAATCCATTTTATATAGAAAGAAGACTAGTATTGTAAATATTGTGATAAACTATAAAATAGACAATTCTGGCGAGAGTGACATAGCACAGTAACAATTTAACTATGAAACAGGTGGATATATGACTAATGTCTGTTAACAAAAAAACTTATGAACATTTAAAGAAACTGAGCTGAATTGGGCTAATATATATCCCAAGGTATTAAGAGTCATTGTCTATAAGTGTGTATGGGAAGAAATGTGGACCTTTTATTTTCTTGTTTTATCTGTATTTTCTGAATTTTATATAACAATTGAAGTGCCCTTCACAGTTAAAGAAAAATATTATTTTCAAACTCAACTAAAAAGAGTGGAAAAATAAAATAAGTATACCTTGAGCTTTTATAAAGAACCATACAAAATTTTGATAAAGGTAGAACTGACAGTAAGCATTTGTTTTGGCTCAGTTTTACTTTTCTGAATTTTTCAGTGGAAGTGAAGAAGCTCTTTCCAATGAAGACTGTGAAAATGTTTACCATTTGGTGTACTCAGCACATCGCCCTGTTGCTGTGGCAGCTGGAGAATTCCTTCACAAAAAGTGAGTTAATTCTCTTTGAAACAAGTTCCACTTTTCTGTTTTTGTTTTGTTGTTGTTTTATAGTTAGTAAAAGAAAGAGTGACTGAAAATAGTGCTAGAAGTGGCCACTGCAAATTCTGTGGGCTGTAACATTCTTACAGCCTATATACACATCATGAATCATATCCCTGAGAAAGGTGTCCCTTGTGACATATTCCTTTGATCTAAAATCTAAAAGGACAGTCCTCAGCCAGTCAGCTCCTTGTAAATGGAGATGGCAAAAGTGCTTGAAGTTTATAAAGACTCACATAAGTAATTGATATTTTATTTCATCGAATTGTTTTCCCTTTTAAAATTTTGTGTTCTCATCTTAACTTCCCAACACTGGTAATCTAAAATTATCTTCAAAATACCTCCCAAATTTTCAGGGTTCTTTCATCTTATTAGGAGGAGGATTATTTTAATCAGTAATCTGTAATGATAGTAAAAATATGTATGCAGCTACACTTTAATTTCAAAGCAAAATCTCATCCAATTTTTTGACAAAGCATAGAGCTAATGAGAGTTTTTTGATGTAATTAAACATCCTTATGAAATATGTTTTTGATCATGATCTCTACTATATATATTCTATAATTTATTAATTCATTCTTAAAATATAAGCATATAAGCAGGGGGATGTTTTGCTGTGTTTTTGTTTTTGTTCATAGATTTAACTTAGTGACTTTGACAGGTTAACCCAGAGGTCTTTTACATATAGTGATTTGTAATTATTTGTGATTATGCTAAGCACAGGTGTAAATCATGCACTGGGCAACTGTTTGTTGTACTGTGATTAACTTTGATAATGAGCAAGCGTGGCCCTCCATCTAGCATCAGCATCTTGGTGCTGCAATCACAAACTGCTCTTTACTCAGTGGTAAAGTGACTCTTGCTTATAACTATTATATATTTGTCTCACTGTCTCTTTTTAAACCTGTTTCTCTGTGGACAGCTGCAAAGTAGGCTAAGACTGAGGGTGCTCAGCTGTCATAGGAGTCAGCAAAGCACAAGGAAGCGCCACCACACATCCAGTGTGCTTAGCCACTAGTCGTGTCCAGCTCTTTGCTGCAGCCTACCAAGTTCCTCTGTCCATGAAATTTTCCAGACAAGAACACTGGAGTGGTTTTCTGTTTCCTCCTCCAGGGGATCTTTCCAATCCAGGAATCGAACCTGATCTCCTGTGTCTACTGCATTGCAGGTGGATTCTTTCCTAGCTGAGCCATTGAGGAAGCCCCTCTTTACTCAGTGATACCTCTCAAAACAAGATAGAGCTATTTCTATGTAAAAAAATCTTTATTTAAGAAGGAAGCTGGCTAGTAGGCATGCTGCTAATGAAAGTGAAGAAGTCAGAATTTTCAGGCATGGCTTTTACAGTAAGATGTGACTGACTCATTGGCTAATATAGAATAGTGCTATTTCCATACTTAACTTGAGGTGTCTTCTGTTGCGAATATCAAGGGTATATTGTAGTCTTAATTTCCCTTTCTTTTTTTTTTATTATATTCTAGTTAGTCTCTATTTAACTTTTCAAAAGGAATTTTAGAAAGAATTTATTGCTTCTGTATTTTTAGAAAGAATGTGTTGCTTCTGTAGTTTCAAAGAAAAGATAGATTTAAAAGGTTCATTATCTATAGAATGGAGGTCATTAATGCCAGCACTGGAATCAGAAAGAGCCCTTGCATATATGTAATTTTATCTGTATTGTATTTGTCTAAGTTTGGAACATTTGCTAAAATTTTTTAAATTTAACATTTCATATAAATATCTACCAATGTAACCCTCCATTATTTTTTATTTCTTTGAGAAAATGGAGTCAATTCCTATGCAAAGAAAAGCTTCACTCATAAGTATCTTTTATTCCCCTACCCTGGAAATACTCAGTTGGAGAACTTTTGAAAAAGCAAATGATCTTTTTTTAGCATTTTCCTACCATTTAATATTGTGATCTTTTAAAATCTGTCAAGTAAACTGTAGAGTAGACTCAGAATTCCATGATCAAGTTTTTTTTTTGTTGTTTGTTTTTTATGAAATGTACGTGCACATATGCTTAGTCTGTTGTTTAAACACTGAAATTTCTATACTGAAGGAGAAGACTTAAATTCATATCCATGTAAATTTGTAATATTCTTGTTTTGTTACTTATTTACAGATTGTTTAGCAGACATGACCCACAAGCAGAAGAAGCATTAGCAAAGAGAAGGGGGAGAAACAGTCCGAATGGGAACCTTATTAGGATGCTTGTCCTTTTCTTTCTTGAAAGTGAGGTAAATTTTTAACATACCTCTTTATTTTGTTGTATTAGATTACATTTTAAGTAAAATTGTCACTTAATCATTGTAATTAGTGATATTTTTTAATAAAATGAAGACAAGACTGTTTCTTACAAAGTTGCCTCCATGGATATTTTGAATTTTTTAGCTGTGCTGTGCAACTTGTGGGATGTTAGTTCCCTGAGTGAAAGCCCATGTCCTAACCATTGGACCATCAGGAAATTCCTTACCTCCATAGATTTGATTCCATGATAATGGGATCAGTACTCTACCTTTTTTGGGAATATGTATGCAGGTATGGATTAACACTGAATCTAGGTTAGCAGTTTTTAAAGTTTTATAGTACTGCATTGCAATACAACATACTTTTTTTGTTGCTTTTTGTTTTTCTTGTAGCTTTTCTTTTTACCTGTAGCTTTTAAATTATATTATTTAGGGAATTCCCTAGTAATCCAGCGGTTCACCAGGGAATTACCTGCAGAGGGCCTGGGTTTGACCCCTAGTCAGGAAACTAAGATCCTACAAGCTGTGTGGTATGGCGAAAATAAAAAGAAAAATTATATTATTGAAACAGTATATGAACATTTTCAAGCTGTCAAAACCACTGGTTCTATCTTGTTTGAAAGTTATTTAAGGATAAGGAAAAATATGAATTTGAATGTAAATTAGTAGTTGTGCAGGCTCATGCAGCATTTCCATGTCAGTTTATCAAACAGCTAACATCCATAACATATTATCTATCAGAATCTGTTTGCACATGTGAACTTTAGTTTGCCCATTTAAATGTTCTTTAATGTTAGAACTGTATTTCCTACTGCTGGTATAACATGGGGAGATGGCAGACTTACACCTAAAGCTCTGAATGAACAAACTTATTGGCTTAGAAATGAGTGGGAACAGAGTTACAAATAAAGGTAGCAAAAATCTAGAAATCTAGGACCCTGAACTTTACTTGGGTAAAGAGTATTTTTGGTTTGTATGGGAATGTCTAGGAATAAGAGAAACATAAGAGACTGTATGACTGCTCAAGTTTGAAAGTGCTGGAGAAACTGTAGAATGAGGAATTGAGAAACAAACAGCTAGTCTATAAGAAAATTAAGATCAGAGAGAAATGTAAGGGTTAGTGGAAAGAGTGGGGTTAGGGCAAAGCAGAGCCAGAAAAGTGAAGAAATTGCTGATATTTTTTAAGTGAGTTGGAAACAGATAGAGAAAGAATACAGTCAAAGTGAAACCAACTGGAGAGTTGCATTTGTGTAAAGGATGTGTTTGAGAACAGTGTATTAAATATGTATACAAATTTTGTGAGGATCTTCTTAAAATGCCAGTTCTAATTCAGTTACTCTTGAGTTGGAATCTGAGATGCTACCTTTTGTTTATGCTTCTGGACCAGAAGTCCAGGAACCACTTGGATAGCAAGAGTCCAAAGCATTATTTTCTTAACAAAGCAAGTGTGGATATTATTATGGAATAAAATACAGATGCTTGTGAATGTTTAAGGTAAAACACTAAATACTCAGTAAATATCACTCATGTGATAGGCTATTCAAATTAAACGCTTAACCCTTTAGGTTTTAAAGAAGTGAGACTAAAAGTATTTTGCAACAATCAAGTCCTATTTAAAATTTTGACTTTAATAGTAACAGTAGTATCAAAAATTGATAGGGATGAGATACACATATACTATTAAACTGCTGAAAAGTTTGGGGAATATGATGATCAGATTAGTTGAACTTGATTATTAATTGAAAGAAAATGTTTTGGATCTCTGAAAGCCCAAGGACTTTACTTTTTTGATATATTAAAAGCCGTAAGTACTTAGTTTTACAGTTTTGTCTTCTATTCATAGCAGTAATTTGTGATGTGTATTACTGCTCTATTTTTGAAATGGTATTGCTGTTTTATGTGTTTGCTGCTCTTTACTAAAATGTTACAAGAACATTAAAATATATTTCCCAGTTGTCTTCTGTGACATTCTTGTCAGCTACAAAAACAACTGCAAATCATATTTAAGGGTTTCTAGTTAATTCATGATCATAATATTGGTGTTTATGGTCTCCTGTTGCACAGGAAACATTGTTTGTTAAAATCTCTCTTATTTTGTAATACTAGCATACACCTGGAGTTGAATGCTTATTAAACCTATATTCTTGTAATATGGTGGGATTCTAATTATACCTTACTCTGAATTCCTGTGGTTTTGCTATAATGTGTGTTTTAGTAATATTTTAGTCATAGGCTCATAAAAAGTTGAATTGAAAGAAACCTTAAAAATCATAAAAGTAGAATAAGTCTAGCTTATAGTTGAGTTATCAGTCAGTTACCTAGAATTGACTGAACTGAGTATCTTTCCTCTTCCTTTGTTTTACTAGGATGATGTTGTTGTTCTTTACTTGCTAAGCCCTGTCCAACTCTTTGCAACCCTATGGACTGTAGCCCTCCAGGCTCCTCTGTCCCTGGAATTTCCTGGGATGTTAAGTAGTAACATTTTAGTAGTAGAATTGTAAAATATTGAATTGAAAGAGGTTTGCAGTCCATAGGGTCTTCCTCTTTTATATATGAATTATAGGTGAAATAATCAAGTTCAGAGATCTACCTAAATTAGTTTTTCTTTTTGTACCAAAAAGTGGCATTTTTAGACCATCACAACTTTTTTAGCAGTCATTGGTTTCAAGTGAAAAAATACCTAGTGTATTTGAGATTGTTGTTGTTTGAAGTACATGCCAAATTTTAGGATGAATGGTATTTGTGTATGGTAAGTCCAGATTTCCCTGTAGGTAGTGTGACCATGATATTTACTATACAAACTTTTGTGGGTTTGTTTGTTTGTTTGTTTGTTTGTTTGTTTATTATTTTTTTTTTATTTTTATTAGTTGGAGGCTAATTACTTTACGTCATTGCAGTGGTTTTTGTCATACATTGAGATGAATTAGCCATGGATTTACATGTATTCCCCATCCCGGTCCCCCCTCCCACCTCCCTCTCCACCCGATCCCTCTGGGTCTTCCCAGTGCACCAGGCCCTAGCACTTGTCTCATGCACCCAACCTGGGCTGGTGATCTGTATACAAACTTTTGAAACTGATGCTTTTCAGAGTGACAAGGATGCTGTTAATAATTATTCCAAAGCAGTTAATCATAACCCAGAACATTTCCAGACAATCTAGAAGTATTGTAACTGTACTTCTAGGCAATTAAAATGATAAGGCCGATTATGGCAGTCATTTAAGACAGATGGTTAACAGATATATTATGAATATAACAACCAGGAAATCCCGCCCCCCGCACCCCCCCCCCGCCAGAATAACTTTTTCTTGTGTTTTACTTTTTTTAATGTGTTCTTCACGATTACCAAAGCTGACTGTTTCAGCAGAGAATAAACCCAGTATAAGAGTATTTACAAATTTAGGCTTAATTATTTAGAATGGTTATTTGCACTGTAAATGATTTTTCATAAAAGGAATAAGTGTAAGATTCCATTATACTGTGAGCTCCTTTAGAGTATTAACTGTTTGGCAGAAGAGTTAACTATTTGACATCAGGTACAATATTTATGAATAACCTTGAAACCAATTAAAGACAAGTGGGAACAGACTGAGAAAATTTTAATTGAAGTCACCAGGAAAATGACATTAGTTTGTTGTATACAAGATTAGAGGAAACTCTATAAAATAAATTATGCTTAGATATAGCAGGGCAAAATTCACCCCACAAAAATGTAATTTTAATTTATGTATATAATATAATTCTGATTATTTTGCTGTACAATGACTCTTTATCTATTAATGAGCGACCTTTTTTGTTCATCAGTTTCAAAGGAATACAAAGAATGCTTGCACAACCTGATTTTCATGCTGTTTTTATAAAATTATGATACCAAAAACTGTTTTTAGAAAGTAAATTTTTGTTTCATTTAGGGTTCCAGATCCTTTTTAATTCCAGGGCTTCTTTATGGCCATTGAGAATACCTCAAGACCTTCCTTCTTAAGAGCTTCGTCTTTCACTTACAATAGAAGATCCTTGGTATGAATTGTCTGAAAGACTATTGTAACCTTTTACCCTATTGGCCACATAAAAAAAATTTTTTTCTCTCAAACATGGATCTGTCTACCTGGTATTCTTGTAGAGGTTTGAGAGTAGCAAGTTATGTGGCCATCACAGATGCCCCAAGACAGGAAGATGGTATCTTGAATATTGTCAAGCCAGTTCCTAACAGACTCTGTTGTACTGATTCTTGTTGCTAATACTGGTGAACTTAAAATGTTTTATTAAAAAAATGCCCTTCTGGTGTACACATTGAGTTTGAAACAAGAGGTTATTGGTGTTAACAGAATGCATTTTACTAAGCCACCACCCTACAGTCAAAGAGGAAATGGTCCAAGACATTAGCATCTATATTGAGAATATACACACAAAAAATTTCCAGAACAATGACAACATTCCTGAGTTAAATTTTAATATGCTGTCATTTAAAGCATAGAAAAATCATCCTTAAAAATGCCAATACTAGGGGAATCACGGTATTTAAAGCCTTGAATTGTGCCAAGAACTCATCCAACTGAAAACCTCTGGCTAAAAATGTCAAGATGAATGACACATTACCAGTTGACAGGACAATGCAAAGTAAATGATTATGAATTCATTCCAATAGAGTTAAGTAACCCATATCCTCACAGAAGACAAAAATAGGGAAAAAAAATTTCGAGACTTTTTTAGTAGAAATCTGAAATACGTTAAAGACAAGAGAGCAACAAAGGCTGGTGAAAGGAGTAAGCTATCAATAATAATTAAGTGACTGCCCTTTAGTGGAGCTTATTCCTCACTTTAGAAATGCTGGTCCAGGCATTGGGATATAGACATTAGGCTGAGAAGCAAAGTCATGAATAAATACCCCAATAATTTGTGGGTACCTGTAGGGACAGGGAACTTCTGCACTCAAAATACAAAGTGCATACCTATAATTAGCCTGCCTGACTATATATCCCCCTTTCCACTTTCTTTTCAACCAAGGAAGCTAGGACCTTGTGATCAGACTCAAGAAAAGCATTCTAGCTACTAGTATTCTTCAGTCTGGGCTCATTAATGTATATATGTATGTATGCTGGTACCCAAGAAACTCTGAAACCTGAAAATAAAATACGATGAAAAAGAAGTGCAAGACCTGACATACGAAAATTTTTGACTAATGCTCCCAAATACAATAAGAAGTAATTATGAAAGAAGAAGAGAGGTCTTAGAAATTAACATGATTTTCAAAATGTGGGGAAAAGATGAATCATTAAATGACCTGAATTGACATAACCAAGGATTGAGTACAGATCAAGGGATTTTTTTTTCCAGGAAGGAAAAATTTTTTTCCAAAGGAGGAAAGAAATTAAAAGTATGAGAGAGAAATTAAGAAATAGAGGGTACAGATTAAGAAGGTTTATTATGTTATCTAGTAGAAACTCTAAAGAAAACAGAGAATGAAGGGAGGGAACTAAGCAAAGGATATGTAGTTAAAATATTTACTACCTTTGTATCCTATATGCAGAGTATTAGTTGAGAAAGTTTTTTAGCAAAATGAAAAATTGATGAAATAACAGGAAAATAAGGAATATAAGAAATATTGGTGAACAAATAAGTCTGTTAATCAAGCTAAACAATATGGATGTTATGCTTAAGGCAAATAAAATTTTAAAATTCTGGTGATCATGGTGATGGAAAAAACAAGTTAGGAAAAAACTCTGCAGGAAGCACATATTTTAAAAAAAACAACTGTCATTAGTAGAGCATGGGGGAAGCAGATGCCAGCATCTATAATCTCAATAAATGGAAATGGACTAACATGCTTTATTTACAAGGCAGGTTATCATATAGGGTTGAAATAAAGAGATTAAATGTTTACAAATACACCTTAAATCAAAAATTTAACACAGAAAGTGAACTGGATAGATACTGGATATAATTAACAAATGCTTATAAAAAGCTGAAGGGGCCATGTCATATATAAGTCCAGAATTCAGAACTGTAAAAGGGACAGGGAGGATATGTATAGAAGGTATAATCTGCCAAAAATATAATTGTGAGCTTTTTATACTTATTCTATAGATATGGTTAAGTATGTTAACCATAAACTCAAGTTTACTCAGCATTTTTTAAAATTTTGGTGAAACAGTTTACCATTTTAGCTACTAGTAAGTGTACTTGTTCATCGGCATTAAGTACATTCACGTGGATGTCTTAAGTGTCACTACCATCAATCTCTAGAACTTTTTCAGAATCTTCCCTATATTGAAACTGTATACCCACTAAATAGTAACTCCATTTCACTATAGGCTTAGTAGCCTATTAAACAAAAAAAAAAAAAACCTATTGTTTTTTCTATTTTCTGCTGCTAATTTTCATTTTTGATACCAGGTTGTGCACTGTACTTGTGCCTGTCACAGTTGGAATGATGTTACTAATGGTCTAGGGGTATTTTCCTAGGATATGTGATTTAGAAAGTTTGACTATATCTGGCTGCAAACCTTTGCCCATCTTCTTTCTGAACAGAGATACTAATCAGTATTATCTACTCTGGCTTTGACAAAAAACTTAGAAAACTGTAGATGTTGAGTGTGCATGAGTGTGTACATAGTTTCCTGAGGCATTTCAGAAAACAGAATGTGAGATTTAAAATGCAATAGAAATGAAGTATAGAATTCAAGAGTTAAAATGAGGCAGAGCTTTAAATAGGTCATCAAAATTTACATAGAAGTTAAGAATAATGATAGAATTAGGAATGAGGAAGAAAAGCAACTCACCTGCAAAATGTACCAAAATACCAGTAGATAACCAATAGGTCTACTAAGGTGACTTTCACATTTTCAGACCCCTCCTCATAATGTAAAACTATTTTCTCTCACAAATACAAGAACATATGACTGATATATAAAATAGTACTTAACATTCTATGTGCTATATATACTCTTTTTTAGTTTCCTTTTTTTTCAACTTTGATCTCAACACATTAAATTATTTTAACTACCAGTGAATGGGTTGCAATCCTAAAGTTTGAGAAATGCGGATCTTGAAAGTGGTTGTCATGAGACTCAAAGGTAGTAGAACTTTCATACAAGGATCGAGAAGTTAATTTTAAGTAGCAGAAACTAGAACATGGCCAACACCTCTACTTAACCTTTTCTAAAGAACTTTTCTAAAGAGATTAAGATTCTTTACAGTTTAGTGACTGACAAACAGAAAAGAGTTGAGCGTGAAATGTTTGATGAGGAACTTGAGAGCATTTGTCTACTGTGGGAACAAGGATTCCAGTGAATAGTCAAGTAATAAGCAGCAAAAAGTGAAGGTGTGGTGAAATGACAGATTCATTGAATTAAGTGGAAATTAGAGGGGAAAAGCAGAGATATGGAATAACTTACATTTTGACCTTTACCAAGAAAAGAGATAAAGTAAGACTGGTACCAATGTTTCAAATGAAATTATGGGAGAAAGTAATTGATTTTTTTTTTAAAGGTTGTTATAAAGAGAGACAAACCAAAAGTAATGAATAGTGTCGTAAATCCAAGTGTAACTTCAGGAATTCTGTTAACTAGTTGTCCTCCCAGTTTTCTTATTAAAGATCATGCCGTTGAACTAGGAGATCCTTAACCTTACTATTATTTTAAAAAATTGATTGAGTCTATATATTGTATCCCCATTATCAGTAGTAGAAAGCAAGTGTGTGTGTATGTGTGTGTGTATCCTCTCAAGTGGCTCTTGAAAGCATTGTCAGCAGTTTTAATTATAAACAAAATGACTGAATAACTCAATATATTAATAGTAGTTTCTTCATTAAGTGTTCTTCAGTCACATTTGATTTGTTTTTTTTAGTTACACGAACATGCCGCCTACTTGGTGGACAGTTTGTGGGAGAGCTCTCAAGAACTGTTGAAAGACTGGGAATGTATGACAGAATTGCTATTAGAAGAACCTGTTCAAGGAGAGGAAGGTACAGTATTTTGATAAGTTGATTTACATATTGTTTTGGGTTCATACTAATAATCATACCATCCTGTATAAATGACTTCTTAAAAATGAGTATATGCAAGTATACTGTGTATCTTTTTTGCAAAGAGAATAGTTTGCTTCCTGTAACAAGCAAAGGTGTCTTAATAGTATCTAACATCTGTCTATATTAGGACTACAACCATGCATGTCCCACAAGTTTTTAAAACCCTATTAACGTCATGGAGCATCCAAGAAGGTTTTCTTTATGCTTATTTGAGATACAAAATACTGACATACTTAATGTAAAAAGAAAAAAAAAATGGTTCATCCAGAGTCTTTTTGTTGTATATAAGTACTTGGCCTTTCACATACAAGGTTTAATTAGGCCACAATCATCCCATCTTTCGCTATATATTTTTTTAACATTAAAATTAGGAAGCCAACAATAAAGTCACTTAGCTGTTCAAGAAATAGGGAGGGAACTTCCTTGGTGGTCCAGTGGCTAAGACTCCACACTCCCAGTGCAGGAGGCCTAGGTTTGATCCCTCGTAGGGGAACAAGACCTCATATGCTGCACCTAAGAGTTCACATGCTGCAACTGAGACCCAGCACAGCCAAATAAATAAATATTAAGAAAAAGAAGAAATATGGAGAAATAATTGCTATACTGATAATTTCTGAAGTATACATCTTAATGTTACACTTTGTGTAATAACATGAACAGCAGACTGGATATGTATACTTAATAAAACATTCATAGCAATGCCTCTTCTGTATAGCTTGTTTTTCAGTCTAGCCCAGAATATTGTTGTTCAGTCGATAAGTCATATCTGACTCTTTGCAACCCTCTGGACTACAGCACACCAGACTTCCCTGTCCTTCATCTCCTGAAGTTTGCTCAAACTCATGTCATTGAGTTGGTGATGCTATATAACCATTTCATCTTCTCTCACCCTCTTCTCCTCCTGCCCTCAATCTTTCCCAGTCAGGGTCTTTTCCAATGAGTCCACTCATTGAATCAGGTGGCCAAAGCTTTGGAGCTTCAGTTTCAGCTTTAGTCCTTCCAATGAATATTCAGGAATGATTTCCTTTAGGATTGACTGGTTTGATCTCCCTGCTGTCCAAGGGACTCTCAAGAGTCTTCTCCAGCACCGCAATTCAACAGCATCAATTCTTCAGCACTCAGCCTTTATGGTCCAACTCTCACATCCTTACATGACTACCGGAAAAACCATAGCTTTGACTAGACGGACCTTTGTCAGCAAACTGATGTCTCTGCTTTTTAATACACTGTCTAGGTTTGTCATAGCTTTTCTTCCAAGAAGCAAGCGTCATGATTTCATGGCTACAGCCGCAATCCACACTGATTTTGGAGCCCAAGAAAATAAAGTCTGTCACTGTTTCCATTGTTTCCCCATCTATTTGTCATGAAGTGATAGGACTGGTTGCCATGATCTTAGTTTTTTGAATGTTGAGTTTTAAGTCAGCTTTTTCACTCTCCTCTTTCACTATCATTAAGAGGCTCTTTAGTTCCTCTTCACTTTCTACCATAAGGTTGGTGACATCTGGATATCTGAGGTTATTGATATTTCTCCTGGCTATCTTGATTCCAGCTTTTGTTTCATCCAGCCCAGCATTTCTCATGATGTACTCTGCATGTAAGTTAAATAAGCAGGGTGTCAATAAACAGCCTTGATGTGCTCCTTTCCTAATTTGGAACCAGTCTGTTGTTCCATGTCTGATTCTAACTGTTGCTTCTTGGCCTGCAAACACGTTTCCAAGGAGGCAGGTAAGGTGGTCTGGTATCCCCATCTCTTTAAGAATTTTACAGTTTGTTGTGATCCACATAGTCAAAGGGTTTAGCATGGTCACTGAAGCCGAAGTAAATGTTTTTCTGGAATTCCCTTGCTTTTTCTGTGATTCAGCGGATGTTGGATACTTCACCTTCTTGCATTTCTTTTTATTTGGGATGGTTTTGGTCACTGCCTCCTGTACAGTGTTACAGACCTCTGTCCATAGTTCTTCAGGCACTCTGCCTACCAGATCTAATCATTTGACTCTATTTGTTAGCTATGCTATATAATAATAATAGATTTGATTTAAGTCTTACCTGAATGGCCTAGTGGTTTTCCCCACAATAGTAGTTTAAACAATAACTACTTCATGTAATCTATGTGAATTCCTAGAATGGACATAATAACTTGATGTAAGTGAGACTTGTAATGAACTTTAGAATTGAAAGAAACATTCAGATATCTAACTATCCTTTGTTACTTATATCATCTTTTTTCTGTTCCTTAGATTACTTTTCTTTAAAACATAGATTCTTTTTCTTATTTTCTTAAATAACTGTTGTGAGGATTAAATGAAATAGTTTACTGTTGATTCTCTATTTTTTTTCCTACTTCTCTGTGTGGTTCAGTTCTGGTATGTAAGAGTGGAACTAGCCATTACCTGCAATAGATTACCTATGCTTAATAGTGACCATCCCTTAGTGTTCTTTCCAAGCAGTAATGCTAATTCTTAACCACCAGACCACCAGGGAAGTCCTTGGTATTGTTAACTTTTACTGTCATTTAAATGTATAAAACATGTCTTTCAAAAAATAATTACCATGACTGTTAGTCATCAAGGTATTCTAGATGGATCTGCCTTCTTAAAATAACTATGTATTATTATTAGATTTTCTTTGGTTTAAATGTAGTTGACACTGGATTTAACTTTCAGCCAGTTGGCTTGGTTTGGTTTGATTTGGTTTGATTTTAACTAGAAAAGCAGATTGTAAAGTGGGGGGAAATTTTTAAATCAACCACAATTTTACGATATGGTTGAATCTGGAAAGGCAAGGCTGGAGAATTTATTCATAACAAGTGCAGAACTATTATGAAATCCTGATTGAACTTTTTTTCATACATTTGTCCATATGCATGCTGTGCCACATATAAGCTTTGGTATGGAATGACATCCAAATCAATATTTTGAGCTACTGTTTTGCTGTATTTTATATAATAAAATGCCATAGTAACTTATTTCTTTCAGACTAATTAGAATTTGATTTGTACTTTAAGTGAAGTTTGATAGATATTCTAGTGGGTGAAAGTCTAGTTAGCAGTTGCAAATATAGGACTAAAATTTTTTCAAAACAGTTATCAAAGACTACCAATAGAAATTTAAATCATAACTGCTATATGTCCAAACAAAGTTGTCAGTCAAAAAGATAAATGCACCTCTGAGTGCATAGCAACACTATTTACAGTAGCCAAGATGTGGAAACAACCTCGATGTTCATCAACAGATGAATGGATGAAAAACATGTGGTGCATATGTACAGTGAAATACTACTCAGCCATAAAAAAGAATGAATGTCATTTGCAGCTACATGGACGGACCTAGAGATTATCATACTATGCGAAGTCAGTCAGAAAAAGGAAAATAAATACCACATGATACCACTTATATGTGGAATCTAAAATATGACACACATGAACTTATCTATGAGATAGAAATGGACTCACAGACAGAGAACAGCCTTGTGGTTGCTGATTGGGCAAGGGGTTGAATCGGGCGTTTGGGACTAGCAGATGCAGACTACTGTATAAAGGTGGTGTCACTCAGTCGTGTCCAACTCCTTGTGATCCCATGGACTGTAGCCCACCAGGCTCCTCCGTCCATGGGATTTTCCAGGCAAGAATATAGGAGTGGGTTGCCGTTTCTTTCTCCAGGGGATCTTCCCGACCAGGGATCAAACTCTGGTCTTCTGCATTGCAGGCAGACTCTTTACCGCCTGAGCCACCAGGGAATCCCAACTGTATATAGAATGGATAAACAACAAGGTCGTATTGTATAGCAGAGGGAACTGTTAATGTATTCATTATCCTATAATAAACCATAATGGGAAAGAAAAATAATAAATAAATCACAACTTCTATAAGACTACTTTGCAGCAATTTTAAGAGATGGTTGTGGGGATATATGTGTATTCTACAGCAAAATCAAATTGCTGGTTAAATTTTTAGTGTAATATGAAGGTCTGGATAACAGGTAATCAGGCAAAAACAGGACCATAGCTAAGTTATTTAACTTCTCTGGGTCTTAGCTTCTTCATTTATTAAAAAGTTTTGTTGATTAGATAAACTTCTGTGGTCATTTAAGGTTAGAATTCTGTGATCCAGTTGAGGCTGACGTAACGTGGATGAGTGGAATTCTTCAGGTCGGGAGTCATTAATTCAGTTATAATGTGAACATATTTATTGACCACCTTTTATGTACTGTTATACTAAGCATTGCAAGTGTAGTCTTAAACAGGAACAGCTCACTGCCCATATGGAGCTTACATTTCAAGTGGGGATGGTAGACCAAAATGAAGTGGTCAGAATAATTTCAAAAGTTAGTAAATACCTGTGATAGGTGATAACAATAAGAAGGTGTCCATCCTTAGATTGAATCTCAAAAGGAGATTCTAAGGATGCCATCCATGAGTCAGGAATCTAGAGGATATGGGGACTAACCTTTAGAAGAAAACAGCTGTCTGGATAGAGGAAATGGTAATTGCAGAGTGTCTGTAGCATGAATGATATTGTTATATTCCAGAAGCCGCAATAGCTGGAGCACTGTGGGTCAGTGACCCTAGATGAGGTAGAGGCAGAGGCCTGATGATGTAGAATATTTAAGTTCATAAGTGGATTTATCATTATTTATTTATTTTAGTTTATTGTAAGTGTAATAGGAAGCCACTGAAAGATTTTAAACAGGGAAGTGATGTGACCGCATTCGTATTTTAAGAAAAATGCTTTTTGTCAACCTTTTTGGAATAGGCAGAAGATAAGTTAGATAACTGTTGCAGTGGTCTCTATGGGAAGTGATAATAAAAATACAAAAGATGAAGATAAATTATAGAAATAAAAAGCCCATGTGAGTTTTTAAAATTGTGGATAGGAAGGGGACACAGGAAGAGCAAGAGTGAGAGTAAGCTATATAAAAAGGATGGTAAGAGATAACTGTACACTATAGAAGGCCCAGTAAAGAGGGTGTTCAAGAGAGCTGTGGTTAATAATATCAAATATTGCAGAGGAAGAGAAAAAGGACTGTGCAAAGACCATCAGCTTTAAGTGAAGATTTAGGTCATCAGTGACTTTTTAGTGTTTCTTTTCAGTGGTATAAAGGAGAAAAGCCAGAGTTTAAGGTGATAAGACTGAAATCAGTAATGAGGAAATTGAGATGACGTGTAAAGAGGTTTCTGAAAACTTAAAAAGTTGTGTAGTTATTTGATAATTCATAGAGCAAACAGCACCCTTTCCTTTCTGCCATTGTGGCTATTTGGCTCTCAACTGTGTCTTAAGGCTTGCTTGTTTTCACTTTTAAATTTCAATTGTTTTGAGTTTGCCATATCAAAATGGGTGATTTCAAATTATACACTAATAAAGCTGATGGCGTTAGACACTGTATAAGGTTGAGTTATTCTTCAACACTAATCTATATATTTTAGTTTATAATAAAAGAGTATTTCTATATTTGATAAGGTTTTCTTTGTCCTCACTTTCCACAGAACTAGATTTTTTTTCATAAATAATAGAAAATGCATTTATTGGGTTAACCAGAGGGTTCATTCAAGTTTTTCTGTAACATCTTATAAAGAAACCCAAACGAACTTTTTGGCTGACCCAGTAGTTCATAGTCTAGTCATTCCTTTATCCCCAGCCTAATGTGAAAAAATAAGAAATTCTAGAATCATAAAGTAGAAACTTTGATTGTTTTATTGCATGGGAAATTTTTTCATATTATTAAGCACTGAATCAGTGTAAATGGAAAGCTGAAGCTGTTTCTGTGGTTTTACTAAGACAAGCTAAAGTTCATGTGTTTTTCCTATCAATTAAAGTGTTAAAAATGATTGAATTAAGATGTACATAATATTCCTGTTCAGGATGATTTTGGTATAGAATAAGGGATAAGATGTAACGTCTTTGCTTGCCTTTTCATTAGTGTTTCCCCAGTTTATTTTGAAATAATCAATATAGACATCTCTGCTTCCAAAGCTTATTATTTTTTCTTTATGCCTAGTTCTGTCTCTATAATTCCCATATCTATTGGTATTTTTTTTTAATTTGTCTTTAGCATAAATAAATATACAGAGAAAAGAACGGAGGAAGGAGACAAAGATAAACTATTCAAATTAGTCTCAAAATGTTTTTAAATATATATATAGGAATGAATTCAATAAGGAAAGTACAGAATCAATGTGAAGAAAATCATAATGTTTCATTAAATAATGTCAAATACGATCTTATAAATGAAGAGTTATATCACGTTCCTGGCTGGAAAGATGATTAAAATGTCAGTTCTTCCCAACATAATGTATAATTTTCTTAAAAATACCAGTTCAAATTCCAGTGCATTTGAGAGAAGTCTGAAAGGTGAGGTGAGAAAATAAACTAAGCATAATGATTTTAAAACTTACATAGACTGAGTAAAGTTAAGTCCAACAAAGAAGACAAATATCATATGATATTAGGTATATGTGGGATATTTTTTTTAAAGGGTACAAATGAGCAATCTGCGAAACAGAAATAGAGTTACAGATGCAGAAAACAAACATGGTTACCAGAAAGTTGAGGCAAATAGATTGGAAGATTGGGATTGACATATACACACTGCTATATATAAAACAGATAACTAATAATGGCCTACTGTATAGCATAGGAAACTACTTAGTACTCTTTAGTGGCCTATATGAGAGAAGAATCTAAAAAAGAGTGGAGGTATATATATATATATATTTGGCTCACTTTGCTGTACACCTGAATTAAGACAACACTGTAAATCAACTATGCTCCAATAAAAATTAAAAATTAAAGTTTATGCAGAATTTCATGCATAAGTTATAAAGACAGTATAGCATAGTGCTTAAGAGCATAGACCTTGAAGTCAGACTGCCTGGGTTCATATCTTGGGTCTACTACTGATGGAATGCTTTGAAAAGTTATTTATAACTGTGCCCTGCATATAGAAAATACTTAATAAATTGTTTGCTACTAGCTTTATAGAAATTAGAATTTTTTTAGGAAAAGGATTAGATAAGGGAAATTTGTTCAACTAGATATTCAAATTAGTTGAATTAAATTACACATTAAGGTATATTATAACATTATAAAGTTGCTGTCATCAAAACAGTATGGCTTTATAACACTGAAACTAAAGAATCCAGAAATATTAATAGATCAAAGTATATAGGAGCATCTGCTGCTAAGTCACTTCAGTCGTGTCCAACTCTGTGCGACCCCATAGATGGCAGCCCACCAGGCTCCCCGGTCCCTGGGATTCTCCAGGCAAGAACACTGGAGTGGGTTGCCATTTCCTTCTCCAATGTGTGAAAGTGAAAAGTGAAAGTGAAGTCGCTCAGTCATGTCCGACTCTTCACAACCCCATGGACTGTAGCCTACCAGGCTCTTCCATCCATGGGATTTTCCAGGCAAGAGTACTGGAGTGGGGTGCCATTGCCTTCTCCAATAGGAGCGTCTAAAACATGTTAAAAGGTGATGTTCCAAATAAACCAAGGAAAGCTGGTTTTCTTTATCAATGGTGGGGACATCATTGAGTGCTCATCTGGTGGGAGTTAAACAGACCCTTACCTGATATTAATACTATCAGCAGAATAAATTTCAGATAGATAAGAGAGGTAAAAGCAAGCAACAGAGACAGAAAAGAAAATATACTTCTTTAATCTCTGGGAGAAAGGAGCTCTTTGAAAGCAATGCAAGAAACCCAAAAGACTTTTATTTTAATCTATATGAGATGATAGATATTAGCTAAACTTACTGTGGTAATCATTTCACAATGTAGGTAAATTAAATCATTGTGTGGTACAACTTAAACCTGCATGGTATTGTATATCAGTTATCTCTCAAAAAAATAAATAAATAAAAATCCTGGAAAGCAAAGAGAGAAATCTGAAAGTTATAAAACAAATCAGTATAGATATGACTCTGCATAAGTTAACTATTTCTGACAGAAGATACCATGAGGAGTCTAAAACCAAAAGCACAAACTGTGAGAAAATATTTGCATCATTTAAGACAAAGCTAATGCTACTAATATATAAGAATCCAAGAAAGGTATATAACAATAGAAAAATTAGCAGAGAATAAATAGAAAAGTCTCCAAAAAAATTTTTTAACTAATAAACAAGAAAATGCACTCCACTAATTATGCAGGAGCAAAATAAGAAATACCACTTTCAGTGATTGGATTGGCAAAAATTAAAGGAACTTAAAGCATCCAGTGTTGGCAGGGATAAGAGGAATCAAACATTGTCATCATTGCAGTTGAAGGTGTGGATTGCAGTAAGTAACGTTATTGATTTGTCAGTACCAAGATTTTAACCTTTGACTCATTACTCCCTCTCTTGACATTTATTCTGCAGAAATAGAAGTGTTAGTTACATAAATTTGTGTATATTTATGATACTTGTTATTGAATTTTTTATAAATGTGGCAAGAATTTGGGGAAAATTTGAGTGAATATTCGTAGAGAAGGTTGAGTTGAATAAACTGGAACACAAATTATGTAATAACTTGTAATTATTTAAGGTAATTGTTCATATGTGTCATGTGACTTGAAAAATACTCAAAATCTATTGTTAATTTTTTTTTTTACTAAGAAAAGCAAAAGATATGTAAACTTTGAAATGATATAGAAGGAAAATTTTGGCATTGCCCAATTCAGAAGTATGATATTACAAGAGATTAGGTATTAGAAGAAACCAGAGGTTACCCTGTTTTTCTTTACTTTGTATACCTCTTTCTTATTTGACTTATGACAGATACATATTATTGAAAAGATAAAAAGGACAAAGAATAGGACTTAACCTTAGTCTTTAAGTAATAGGTTGCAGGTTTTTTTTTTATAATTGTGTGCATTTTTGATATGTGGCTATTATAAAACTATCTACTTATGCTAATGTGTTTTGTTTGACTTTAGCAATGTCCGACCGTCAGGAGAGTGCTCTTATAGAGCTAATGGTTTGTACAATTCGTCAAGCTGCTGAGGCACATCCTCCAGTGGGAAGGGGTACCGGCAAGAGAGTAAGTTATATTAGTGAGAAATCTAAAAAAAAAAAAAATTAACGACTTATCTTTTTCAAATATTTGAATATTTACTGACGTATGTATTCCTAAAAACATGAAATTTTTGTAAATGATACATGCTTGTGGTAGTTCATCTTATACCCTGTCTACTCATTTTCCAAAAGTAGGTTCTTTTCATCCATGCTGCTTGCTATAGCACCTGTGCCTGCTTCTAGTTCAGTATCCTAAGAATTTTCACATTCATATTTGTTTAAAGTACAGAAAGGCTCTGAAGGCTAACTATCTAGTTTTGTAAACTCTTCCATTTAGCATCAATATAATCTTTGGACAGTTGACCATTTTCTTTGTTAATGTGCTTACCCATAGTATGAGGCTAATAATACAGGTGTTATTGCTGATAGCTTACAGTGAACGATGAGGGATTCGTGATCTCTGAGGAAGATTTAGCTTCAGGACCAGGGACCAGGCTTGATCACTCGAGCTTTTGTGTAGCAGAGTTTTATTAAAATGAAAAAGGACAGAGAAAGCTTCTGACATAGACATCAGGAGAATGGAGAGTGCCCCCCTCACTAATCTTATCAAGGCCTTATATACTTTTACCAGACCCACTCCCACAACAGACATCTTAAATTAACAAGATTAGAACTAACAACTGAAAGGTCTCACCAGATCCACTCCTACAGCATACATCTTAAGATAACAAGATTAGTCAGAAGGTTCTTGTTAAGGAGAAACATGTCCTTCTTAAGGAGAAACAAGATACATTGCTATATTGACTAAGACAAAGCAATGTAGAAAAAGTTTTTTTTCTCCTCCTTGAGAGCCCCAGACCCCTTCTTCCTCAAGGGCTCTGGACCCCTTCCTCCTTGAGGACCCCAGACTCCTTAACAACCTACCTAAGGATTAGATCTTTCATTGTTATTCCAGATGAATTGAGATGATCACAGATGGGAAGACTATCTCTGGTAGTGTGAAGAAGTAGGCAATTTCCCTTCCTCCCGTTTCCCCCCCCCCCCAAAAAAAAAGGAATGAAACTGGAAAAATTATGAAAACTCATATCAGGGCTCTGGAAATTCACCACAGATTTTTAAAAAAATAAATAAATTGAGAAGTATTTCTAGGCATATCTTAGAGATATTGTAGGTTGAGTTCCAGACCACTACAGTAAAGCAAATATTGCAGTAAAGCCAGGCACATGAATTTTTTCTTTTCTCAATGCATACAAAAGTTATATTTACACTATACAATAGTCTATTAAGTGTACAATGCCTTAGGCCTATAAAAATGATATATATACCCGTAATTTAAAAATACTTTATTGCTTAAAAAAAAACACAATCACCTGAGCCTTCAGAAAATTAGAGTCTTTTTGCTGATGGCAATTTCTTAAAGTTAGACAATGATGTTTACCTCATTGATGGACTTTTCCTTTTGAAAACTGGTTCTCAGTAGTATGTAATGCTGTCTGATAGCATTTGACCCACAGTAGAAGTCTTTCAGAATTGGAGTCGGTCCTCTCAAACCCTGCCACTGCTTTATCAACTAAGTATGTGTCATATTCTAAATACTTTATTGTCATTTCAACAATCATCACAGCATTTTCACCATGAGTAGATTACATCTCTGGGAACCACTTTCTTTGCTCACCCATAAGAAGTAACTCCTCATCTGTTAAAGTGTTTGTCATGAGGTTTATACATATTCAGACTCCACTTTTTTGAATTCTTTCTCTTGTTATTTCCAGCACATCTGTAGTTCCTTGCTCCACAAAACCCCTTGTACTTCTCACAGTCATTCATAAGAGTTGAAGTCAACTTCTTCAAAAATTCTGTTGTTGATATTTTGACCTCTGCTTGAATCATGAATATTTTTAGTGCCATCTAGAATGCTGAATACTTTTCAGAAAGTTTCCAATAGACTTTGCTCAGATTCATCAGCGGAATCACTGTCTATGGCAGCTATAGCCTTACAAAATTTTTCTTAACTAGTAAAACTTGAAAGTCAAAATTACTCCTTGATCCGTGGGGCTGCAAAATGAATATTGTGTTAGGCGGCATGAAAACATTGTTCTCTTTGTGCATCTCCGTCAGAGCTCTTCAGTGACCAGATGCATCGTCAGTGAGCAGTCATATTTTGAAAGGGATCTTTTTTTTGAGCTGTAGATCTCAACAGTGGGCTTAAAATACTTGCCAAACCACCAGCTCCGGGAGTTGGTGATAGACAGGGAAGCCTGGCTTGCTGCAGCCCATGGAGCAAAGAGTCAGACATGACTGAGCAACAGAACTGAACTGAAACCACGTTGTAAACAGATGTGCTATCACCCACACTTTGTTGCCGCATTGATAGAGCATAGGCAGGGTAGATTTAGCATAATTCAAGGGGCCCTTGATCCATGGGGCTGCAAAATGAATATTGTGTTAGACAGCTCGTAGCTCAGTTGGTAAAGAATCTGCCTGCAGTGCAGAAGACCTGGGTTCAGTTCCTGGGTTGGGCAGGTCCCTTGGAGAAGGAAATGGCAACCCACTCCAGTATTCTTGCCTAGAGAATCCCATGGACAAAGGAGCCTGACAAACTACAGTCCATGGGGTCACAAGAGTCAGGCATGACTTAGCGACTAAACCACCACCACCAAGGGGCCCTAGGACTCTCAGAAAGGCAAATGAACATTGGCTTCAGCTTAAAGTCACCAGCTGTATAACTATGAAAATCCTAGGTGGCATCTTCTTTTAATATCATGCTATTTTATCTACACTGCAAATCTTTTTGTTTAGCATAGCCACCTTCATTACTTGTCTTAGCTAGATCTAGATAACTTGCTGCATCTTCTACATCAGTACTTGCTGCTTCACCTTGAGGTCTTATGTTATGGAGATGGCTTCTTTTCTTAAATCTCATGAACTAGATTCAAACTTTTCCCTTGGAGCTTCCTCACTTCTTTCAGCGTAGAATTTAAGAGAGGGCCTTGCTTTGAATTAGACTTTGACGTAAGGGAATGTTATACCTGGTTTGCTTTTATCAGATCACTAAAGTTGATTCCATATCCTCCATAAGGTTGTTTCACTTTCTTATTATTTATGTTTTCATTGGAGTAGCACTTTTAATTTCTTTCAAGAACGTTTCATTTGCATTCACAGCTTAGCTAACTGTTAGTCTCATGAGGCCTAGTTTCTGATCTGTCTTAGCTTTCAACACTCCTTCCCCATTAAGCTTAATCATGTCTAGTTTTTGTTATTTGGTTGCTAAGTCATGTCCAAGTCTTTGAGACCCCATGTACTGTAGCACACCAGGCTTCCCTGTGTGTTTGCTCAAACTCATGTCCATCGAGTCAGTGATGCCATCCAACCATCTCATCCTCTGTCGTCCCTTTCTCCTCCTGCCTTCAGTCTTTCCCAGCATCAGGGTCCTTTGCAATGAGTCAGCTCTTTGCATCAAGTGACCAAAGTATTGGAGCTTCAGCATCAGCCCTCCCAATGAATATTCAGGGTTGATTTCCTTTAGGATTGACTGGTTTGATTCCCTTTGCTATCCACGGGACTTTCAAGAGTCTTCTTCAGCACACAATTCAATACATCAGTTCTTTGGTGTTCAGACTTCTTTGTGGTCCAACTCTCACATCTGTACATGACCGTTGAAAAAACCAGAACTTTGACTATTTGGACTGTTGTCACCAAACTGATGTCTCTGCTTTTTAATATGCTATCTAGGTTTCTCACAGCTTTTCTTCCGAGGAGCAAGCGTCTTTTAAAATCATGGCTGCAGCCACCATCTGCAGTGATTTTGGAGCCCAAGAAAATAAAGTCTGTCACTGTTCGCATTGTTTCCCCATATATTTGCCATGAAGTGATGTTATCAGATGCCATGATGTAGTTTTTTGAATGTGGAGTTTTAAGCTAGCTGTTTCACCCTCCTCTTTCACCTGCATCAAGCTTTTGATTTAAAGTGAGAGATGTGTGATGAAGCTTATTTTCACCTGAATACTTAAGAGACATTAGGGGTTAGTAGGGTTATTAATTTCAATATTGTTGAGTCTCAGGGAGTAGGGAAGCCTGAGGAGAGGGAGAAAGATGGGAGAACATCTAGTTGGTGGAGCAGCAGTGAGACACAACATTCATCAAGTAAGTTCCCCATTTTATATGGGCATGGTTTCTGGCACCCCAAAACAAATTAAGTGGTAATATCAAAGGTTGTTATTCACACCAGAACAAATCTAATAATAATGATGAAAAAGTTTGAAATAGTGCTAGAAACACCAAAATGTGACTCAGAAACACAAAGTGAGCAAATCCTACGGGTAAAATGGCACCAATAGACTTGCTCAAACAGGGTTGTCACAGAGTTCCAATTTGGTGGATTTTTTTTTTATACAGTATCTGCAAAATATTTAATGAGGTGTGCTTATATTCTTGAAAAACTGCTGAAGCTTCAGTTTAAAGCTGTAGGCGTCTGCAGCCTTTTTGCCTAGGGTTACAATGCACACAACCCACAGGCCTGATTGGTAACATCTCTAATTTTACCTGAGTGGCACTGATGCAAAAACCAGCATACACAATTGCTGTCAGAGAGAAAAGCCTCCATACGGGACAAGAGGGGAAAGTCCACAACTTTGTCAAATAGAAATGGAAGAAATACATAAGAGAAAAACTTTCACCTGTGACATTCAGAGATTGTATCTGCAATTGGTAAGAATAGTGGACCAGCCAAGAATCTAGCCATAAAAATACTGGAAATGAGAAAGCTGTAAAAGGTTTAATAAACTCTTCATATATCCCTGGCTGATTGGGAAACCTGAGAGAACCCAATAGAAGATAAAAATCAAGGAAACTAACAAACTGACTGAACCTTGAATGTGGTCCCTACCCCACAGCAAATCAGGTCTCAGAGAGGAGGAGTCTTATAAATTTGGAGCATTTGAACACAGTCTCTGCCAAATCATTGGCTAACCAGTGATATGTTGAAACACAGAGGAAACGTCCAGAAAGACAGGTTAAAAAAAAAAA